GGCGGAGGCTGCGGTGGGACTGGGCGATGCCGAGCGTGGTCTAGCCAGGCACACCCACTCATGTGTGTGAATGTAGGTTTTTTCCCCGTCTGACTTATGTTGGAAACTTTAGGAGGGTCCCAATGGGTGAACTAGTGCGTTCAAGCTCTTCCCACACTGGGCCAGGGGAGCCAGCAACTCCTGGGAGAGGGGGAAGACACGTGGGAGGGGCTCACTGGGGGTCGGAGGGCCCCTCCTCCCAGTGTGCACCCCCTTACCTTGCATGCCCCGGTGTGTTGGAGGGAGAGGGGGATTGCTCTGTTTCCTCTGGGGACTCCCTACTCAGGGCACACTGCCCTCTGCTTACCCAGGAGGCTGCAGTGCAGGGGCCTCCTCAAAAGGACCTCCTATAGGGAGCAGGATCCTCCTGGGACAGTATGGGGAGGTGCCTGTAGGGCAACCTCTTCCAACGCTGGGTGGGAGACCAGGGAGTCTTCACCATGCCCCTTTATGGCTCACAACCCAGGGACCTCACTTACCCTCCCAACTTAGGGTATTCTCCCCAAACCAGGGGTCCTCACTAGAGCCAACCAATATCTTCATTTGTCTCCCCTGATCATAATTCCTTGCCCTTCCTCCCATAACCCAGTCACCCTGACCCTGGATTCCTCAAGCCCCAGCCCAGGCCCTTCTTCCTAAGTCCTCCTTCAGGAAACACTCCCAGGCCTTTCCTCCCTCCATAAGGGTTTCCTGCTTCACACCAAGAATGATGGAGGCCTGGCAAGGACCACAATCCCCAGGGCAGGTAAAAGGACAGAGCAGGACTCCTTGTTGGGTCCTCAGCCCTTTTTGCGCCCATAGACCCAGTCCTCATAGTCCACCCTGCAGCCAGGCTCCTGTCAGACACAGATCACCCAGTTCTGCCTGTCCCCACCCCAGATATGGTGACCTCCCAACCTAGGGTCTGAGGAGAAATGGGCCCTATCCCAGCAGGACCCTACCACCTCCACCCCCGAGAGTCAACGTGTTGTTTGAGGGCACATAGCATGCTCCCTCATTCAAGGTCGAGTTCCATGGCAAAACAGAGGTTCTCTTTCTAGCTGAGCCCTGGCAAGGACCCATGAGTCTTTCCTTCCAGAATGTGAGACAAACCCAAAGGTGGGTGCTGGCTCCGTACCTACTGTGGAGTCAGGACCTCAGGGCCAGCCCCAAGAGGGAGCAGGGCAGAACCTAGTTTCCCCTGGGGCCCTACCCCACCTGGGAAGCCAGTGGGGTGGAATTACCCTATGAAAGCAGGAAACAGAGTAACTGTTGGGGGTCTCAGTGTTAATTCTGTATGATGGGAATGGTGCATGGGCCCACAGGAGCTGTTTGTTAAGTGATGGGACAATATACGGAACTTGGCTGTCCCAGTGCATCACAGCATCCTGCCCTGCTGCTCAGCAGTCCCGGTTTCTTGAGGGGAGCTCGTATTCTCTCTCCCCACTGCCCGGCTCAGTTTGGTCTTTGTCCTGGCCTCCTCACTGATCCCCAACACTATGGTCCATCTGATGGTGTTCCCCCCACCTAAGCTCTCCATAGCTCCCCACTGCCCTCAGTTCAAATAGCAAACTTGGCTTCTGACTAGAGAAACCACTTCCTGGTCTGGCCATGCCAACTCTCTCCTGTTCCTTCTATCATGTGCTTCCTGCTGGTCCCTGCCATGTCTTGCCTTTATGCTTTTGCCCTTGGAACTGACTGTGGCACCCTCCTCCAGTAAGCCTTCCCTGATCTTCCTGCTCATTCATCTACTGATCACTTGTCACATCAGCATGGAGGCTCAACTCCTTCTCCCACACCAGTGTTTGTCACCTCCACTACCCTGGGGATCCCTTAGAGCCAGACACGGGGCAGAGACCAGGAGGGCCTCAGGAATTATGGCTTAATGAACACAATCAGATTCCGAGACCCCAAATTGCTCCACATCTCTCAGGAGAGGCCCAAGCTGGGTCACCCAGGAGGGAAATCATGCCCCTTGTCCTTACCATCTCGAGCCACCCTTGTGAAAATACCAGGCTATCAGGGTCCATCTGTGAGCCTGA